TATTTATAGTTCAAATTTATCTTTTAATGATATATTATATAATTCAAAATTAGCTTTCTACTCTGACAAATGGTCTAACTTATATTTAACTTTTTAATTCAGTGGCTAACAATTTATTATCTTTCTTCATAATATCTTCTCAAAAAAAAAAACTAAATTATAATATATATTATAATATATATTCATATATTATTCTTAATATATATATAAGCTTCTAACATAAAATAGAGCATTTCTAAAATAATAAAATAGAGCATTATATTAATAAAAGTTTGATGCTAAATAACTGTTTAGAATATGAAGTGCATATATAATGCATATATAGAAGGTAAGTTTGCATCATTCCCCTTGTGGCTGAACCCTGATTTGAATTTAAAATGAGTAATGAACAAAAAAAAGGATAAAGCCGTTAAATTCCTTTTTAAGAGAGCTTAGAAAATAGATTGTTGATTTCTTGGTCCTTGATGTTTTTTACTCTTTTTTACCAACTTTTTGTCCTTTCTCCAGAGGGATAATGACGTCACTAGGTAATTTGTAAAGTCTTTGTGTACTTGGAACAGAATGGAGAAACAGTATGTAGGGTGTTAGAATTTGAACCTTGATTATAACTTATAAGCTAATAAATGATTACTGCGCTTACTATTAAAATTCGATTTTGTTATTATTGTGTTGATACATTTTATTATATAATTGATATCATTTATCAATATTTTTATATAAATATTCAAATTTTGCTTATTATTTTCACTTGTTTATTGATATTCAGAAAAGAAAGGTTTATATACACATTTAACAATCTTTATTAAAATATTTTGATTAATTATTTGAGAAGTTGATTAATTTTATAAAAATAATTATTTTGTGATTTGTATTTTTAAAATATATTACTTAATTTATTTGTTGCTTATATTAATATTTATTTTAACATATATAATAATACAGTTTTATACAGATAAAATAACTTTAATATTTATCTTTTTCCATATACACAATTAAGCTGATTTTGCTTCATAACTTTGAGAATAAGTTACTAAAAAAGCACAAAACATCAGTCACGTATTTAAAATTTGGAATAAAATATGCAAAGTTATTCTGATATGCAAATCAGATACGACCACTCGAACGCCTAATATTTTTTGCCCATCTCTGCTGATTTTTGTTCTCTTAAAATTATGATTCGTTTCTTTTCAAATTATTTTTATTTTTTTGCATTTCAATGACTTCTAGGCATCGTTTATCTGATTCTTCAAGGTAGCGTGCTATTGAATGGATAGAAATGGGATTAAGCCAAGCTGACGCAGCAAGGCGTTCAAATGTTTCAAGAATAGTAGTCTCACGCCTCTTGAAACAGTTTCAAGATAGAGAATATGTAAGAACCTGTTGCAGGATGCCCAAAGGTCATTGCACCACAAGATGACATGTTTTTGGGAATATCTTTCAAACGCAATAGAGGGGCTCCACGCAGGATGCTTTTTCTGAACTTGAATAGGTCACTGGAAAAATATTTTTGTCCAAACTCTGGCATGAAGGCTTAAAATTGTTGGTCTCTATGTTAAACGCCCAGTTGCATATATCCCATTATTATCATTACACAAAAATACACTTGGATTGGAGTCGTCAGCATCAAGACTGAACAGGCAACGAATGGAGAAAGGTTCTACTCACATAAGAATCCTGATTTAGCCTCCAGAGTGATTATCAAAGATAACATGTTTTATATTTATAATTGTATGTATTTCTCTCCTCAAAGCTTATGTTCATAGTTTACTTAAAATACCTTTACTATGTCTTTAGCCTTAGTATCCATATAAAAGGAAAACAGCTAAATACATCTTTTACAACGGTATGTTAAATTAAATGGGCGAAACCACTGTGAAGGTTCCCAATTTTAAAGATGAGTCTACATTTATATCATCATTGCAGTAAGGGGAGTTGAAAAATGTTTTATTTTTTTAAAATGAATATTATATAAAATTACTTTATAATCTTTTCGACTTTAATTAAGTTTGTCGAAATGAGAAATCGGTAAGTTTAGACATTCTTTCCAAAACATGTGAACAGTTCGATGATGTTGTAAAATAAGCATGTATACTGTGTTTGAAAATTTTATACTGTAATGAGTACAATTTGTTTTTTAGATATCTTGTTCATTAATAGGTACAATTTTTTTAGACAGTTGGCATTGTAATTTTAAACAAGTTCTCTCTCTTATATTAATTATTATCTGCTATATTTAATCCCTACGATTATTTTTTTAATCGGAAGAGCTATCTACAAACTCCAGTTGTTTTAACAATAATATTTTGAATGTGAGGCGGCATAAAATCTAATTTGTTTTTGTTTCAGTGATTCTTGAAAACCAGTATTTTAAAGTTCTCAACTAGTTTAATAAGGTTGTCATACAAATTAGTTATATCGTTTTTACAGTCGAATAAATATAAAAGCTTCGTTTCATGTCTAGATATTTTAGATTTGATGTTTTCACACTATGTATTTATTTCCCCTATTGCATCTTCGAATGAAATCTTAAGTAGTCTGAGTATTCCAGATAAAATATCGTTAGATCATCTGAAAACATATATTTTATTATTATATTCTAAAAATTTGGTTATAAAAGGTCTTTCATTATGATCTTCCAAATTGTCGATGGTCCAATGGTCCTGCTTGCGGACATTTTGATTTTTTAAGGAATTCATTCGAGTGTACCTAAATCTTATCTTTCGGTTAGTGAAGTAGGATTTTATTAATTTCATTATTGGTGCAGGTTTATTGTCCTTATCAAGTGAGTGGTCCGGAGCTTCGGGGAAAAAGACTTATTCTTTCACTTATCCCTATCAACTATTTTTATGATCATTAACCATCATTAAACGTCACATACACAACTAATGTTAGGTATTTCACGGAATCCAATGTTTGGCCCTCTGGAAGATCTATAGTTTTCGGAGAAACCTGGGAAAAGACGTGTGCTTCAAAAGATATAAGAATTTTAATATAACCGAATTACCCTTTTAAAATCAGAGAGAAACGGATAAAGAAAGGTTTAGCATTTCAATACTTACATAAAGTTAGTAATAAAGAATATTACACAAAAGTTTGGAATATTCATGCAAACGCCAACCTTTTTGCCAAGGTTTCGTGTTATACAAGGTATGTCCCATAAGTTCCCAGACTGGGTCCATAAAAAAAAAAAAAGGTAAGATTTTTTTTTAATTTTTTAATTAAAACTTTTCAAAGTAATCCCCCCTTGCTTCAACGCACCAGCGCCATCGTTTCTCCCAATTGTCAAAACAGTTTTTATAGGCCTCTTTTGGAATGCTCTTTAATGCCAGCAGCGATTTTTCTATTATGTCTTCCCTGGTGTCAAAAATGTCTTCCTTTTAGAACTGCTTTGAGTTTGGGGAACAGGAAAAAGTCATTTGGTGCGATGTCTGGGGAATAGGGTGGTTGAGGTAGGATTTCTGTCCCGTTTTTCGCCAAAAAACTCGTCACCAAGTGCGCTGTGTGAGGGCGGGCATTGTCATGGTGTAGGATCCAGTCACCATTAGTCCATTTTTCTGGCCTTTTTTTTTTCGAATTGCTTCCCTTAGACGGCGAAGAATTCTCAAATACATTTCCTTATTAACTGTTTGGCCTGTAGGAAGATACTCGTGATGAACAATGCCCTTGTTATCCAAAAAAGCGACCAGCAACACCTTGTTTCTGGATTTCAATATCCTGGATTTTTTGGGTCTAGGCTCACCCTGACCTCTCCACTCGGCAGATTGACGCTTGGTTTCAGGGTCATAGCCATAGACCCATGTCTCGTCGCCTGTGATTATCTTGTCTTTCCATTCCGGATCCGTTCTTGTCATTTCCAGCATGTCCTCACAGGTTGCAAGCCGACACAGTTTTTGCTCATTAGTGAGGAATCTTGGGATGAATTTTGCAGGAGTCTTTTTGATCCTCAAATCTTCGGTTACGATCCTTCCAATCGTTGTTTTAGAGATGCCTGTGTCTTGCTCTAGCTCCAGCAAAGTGGTTCGAGGATTTTCTTTTATCAAATCGGTGATTTTTTGCACATTTTCATCAGTCCTTTGAAATGTTGGGCGTCCTTGACGAGGATCATCTTTAATGGAAATTCTGCCAGCTTTAAATCTAGAATGCCATTCAAAAACAGTTGTTCTCTTTGGGGCGTTATTGGGGAATGCTTTATTAAGCATTTCAAAAGTGTCGGTTGCTGATATTTGAAGTTTCACACAAAATTCTATGCAAATCCTCTGCTTCAATTTTTATTCCATCGTAAAATCGCCGCAGCGCAAGGTGTAACCTTTAAATAAATTAGAATAACTTTGGCGCGCGCGCACGTACCGCCTCGATATTGGTACCACCGTGTTGCCAGATATTTCTTCTATAATAATCTGTCAAATTTATTTACATTTTTCATTTATTTATTTTTTTATGGACCCAGTCCGGGAACTTATGGGACATACCTTGTAGTTTCATCGGTATGTGGACAGCTTCGCTCTCATAACAACTTAAGAGATTTTTGATCTTGATATATATTTTGAAGATGATTGGGTTACTTTTCTAGCATTCAAAATCCTTCAGTATAAATGACACATCGGTAAGGGAAGCCTTTTATTACATATGTCTCTAAACAGAAATTCCTTTGTCTATGTCAGATTTGAATATATAGAGTAACCTTAAACTACACATTTACGATAAATCTCTTCGCTATGTTTAAATGTGTAATATTACAGTATTAATATCATTTTATTCTCGTTCGAACGTTGTGGCCCACTGTACGTATTACATCCCAATTACGACACCAGCCATCTCCGTCTTGGGCTCAATGTACATTCTAAACAGATATTCTATATACATTTACGAGCGTCATGGCCTCTGTCACGGTTTGCTGGCGCCCTCCTATTGGTCGGCTACGATCACGCCACCTTTGCCCCCCCCCCCCCCCCCCCCCCCCCATCATTTGGTGCCGCCAATGCGCGAGACACTTCTGTCACCGTTTGCTTTTGGTTCAGTGGTAGAATGCTCGCCTGCCACGCGGGCGCCCCGGGTTCGATTCCTACAAGAATGACATCCACGGCGCCAATCTATAATTGTAACGAATAGTATTTTAATAAAAGCATTTAATCGGGTAAACCCCGGGCGTTGCCCGGGTGGTTCGGCTAGTTACAGATATAATAAAAACACAATGACACTATATTTAAAGATAAAAATAAATAGAGTCTCTGTATAATAGATGTTAAATTGAGTATAGTTAATTAACCTATAGAAAGTCTAAAGTTCTTTTAATTTCCAACTGTTCTACTCCTTTCTTTAGGTAAATTGTTAAACAAGAAATTTGAACACGGTTCGGATCCATTTTCACAGTAAATTTCACAGCCTGTAGATAAAACGACTATTCTATTAATTCTAACAATATTACATTTTTTATGTTCCGTATTTATACACAATTTCCGCGTATTCAGATAATTTTAAAACTAATGAATAAGGTGAATATGATACGAAATATAATTAAGAATTACCTTCGAGTCAATTGTTAAAGAATAATATAATTAAGACATGGACAAATGGAAAACCAGGAATGTTTCTTTTCAAATATAAAACAAACTTCTACTATGCTTACTGCGTAGAATAAATATTGAGAAGCGCTTGACTCATCAGTAGTAAACCCTCCCACCGGTTTCGATAATTTAATCTACCAGACCGCTTTTAGAGCTCTAATACTGTATTGGACAATTCTGCTTATATATGTTGTAATGAAAGGTGGAATATTAGAATTGTTATTCAAGAAAACTATGGACATAAGATTTTAGAATTGTAGAATTGCATTTAAATATTTGTATCGAGCGCAATGCTCTTCCGCAAACAATAAGTACAAGGTCAGTTAGGCATACCTAATTATAAGGCGATAACGAGACAACTATATAAATGAAATTATTAATTATTTATTAAATAATATTTAATTATTCCATTTCATATATATGGCATGTTAGATGTATATAGATGGCATCATGTTTGAGACTTATAATTAATAATAAAATTGTATAATAAAAATTATTTTCGTAATATTTGAAGTTCTGTAAATTTTACAAGGAATTTAACTCACAATTTTAGTACAATTTTACTTGTAAAAACCAATCTTTTTTTTTTTTTTTTTTTGTAATATTAGTCCAATTTTAAACCAAAGGTATAAAGTAGATTCTGAAATACTGTATAATCATTAAAACACTTTATAAAGATATCTATAATTGTATTTTAATAAACATTTTTACATTTATCTTTTAAAAATTTGTAGAATTTACATTTTATCTGAATCTTTTTTTATTCTCAAAGATATTTAGATTGTTGCGCGCTATGTAAAAAATACAGTTTTTCGCTTTTTTCCCTTTTCTATCGATTTTACCTATCCTTCCCCAAATGACGCCATTAGTTAGAACGGCAGTTCTCTACCTACACTCTGAAGTCTTACGTCTGAATTTTTAGAAATAAATGTTGGCGAATTATTTATGTCTTCCACCTTTTGCTGCTTCGGTCCACTAGGAAAAGCTTAGTTGGGGGCTTAAATGATGCAGGTTTGTTTTCTTACACTTCTATTTTAAGGCGATAGCTTTGAGACAAGTATTTTTCTATTTAAATATAGTTTTATCTTTCTAGATATTTTTGTTTATTTATGCCTTTTAAGAATGGTTATATATTTGAATAATTTTAAAATTTATTTATAAATATTTTCTCTAATAGTGTTTTTATTATTTAAAGTTGAAATGATTATTTAAATATATGAAATATTAGATTTTGATTTCATAATATTTTGTGAAAGAAAAATATATAAGAAATGAAATCTAGCTTCCTTTAAAGGATAAACGCTGAAAATATATAATAGATTAGTTAATAAAACTTACACTCATGGACAAAACTTTAAGACATCGAACCTTCCAGTATGTATATCAGGATTCAAGACAATAACTCTGAAAGATATTACAGTGACCTTTATTGAAAACACACGAGATAACCCAGTGTGAAAAAAATTCCTGTCTTCTTTAGAGACTGAGGACTAGGGAGATCAAAAACTTTCTACTTTATTAAGTTTAATCCACGAGTGTACTTCCATATAATACAATTAACATTTGGGGAAATTTTGGGGCAATTTTCTAAACAAAAATTGCTTCATTGAGATTTCCGATTCTTTAAAATACCAACCCCAACAGTTAGTGAAGGTAACTAAACGGGGTTTTGACACAATTCTAATTACAAAAAGACGAACTCATTTTCTTCTCATTGGATGATAAAGACCCCTGCAAAATTTCCTATTAACTATTAGAAATGCTTTTAAATAGATAGTAAAAATATATAGAAGCAGAGAGCTTTTTATCCAACTACATATCAACTTACAAATTAAAAACATATCAAAATTATATAATCACTTAACTTTTATAAACAAAATAATTCAACGTTATTAATGTTTACAATAAAATATTGTAAAATACATATTAAAAAAACACCTTCTGTATAATGCACTCAAAAACACGTTGTCTTTTGTATTTATTAAAAGAAAAAAATGCCCTCTTGTGCAAATATTAAATATATATATGTATTTCAAGAAATAGAGCCTCTCATGATCGTGCAAATTATGACTGCAAGATCAGAAGATGCCTTTTTTTAAATTTATCAATCTGATCCCAGTATAATTTCACTTTTGTACTATTTTCTTTCATAAACACATATATAGAGAGATTTGACTCCATATATTTTAGAATATAAGGGTTATAATAGAACCGTTTATATAAATAAATATCCTTTAAAGGATATATATGCGGAATTTATTCAAAGAAATTACATCGGACGAATACATGTTAATAGGAGGGAGGGCAATTTCTGCACATGAATATCTTCAGCATATAATTGTACTATAAATATTATTAGCATGAATATATATTATCTGATATATTAAAACAACATTAAAATCGAAATATTTGAAAACTATATAGAAGAAACTGGCAAAACTCGGGAAGAAAGAGTAAACGAACACAAAACTGCTTTTAAAAACAATAGTCTATCACTTTTTATCAAATGTGATCACGCATTCAAACAGGACCATATGCCAAAATTTGAAAAATCGGAAATTATATACAACAATATTCAAGATAAACACTCAAGACTATTTTTAGAAAGTTTGACCTCAATGAAAGATACCAACAGCATCAATAGAAAAATTAACATCCCTCCATTATATTTACAGTTCAAATCTACTTAACCTTCTTATTATACACATTAAGACTAATTTATTACTAATTACATTTTATGAATGTACATATATAGTATAATATATATGTGTGTGTTTTATATTTGATATTTCAGCCACAGAATGCATTTTGTGAATATTTTATATATCATCGCGTTGGTAACTAAACATTTCAATATAAGGAAAACCCCTGACGAAGATTGGCGTTCAGCCTAGCGAAATATAGGAATTTATATATAAATAAAATGTTAATTTTATTTTCAATCCACAAATATTCTTATTAATTACTCTATATTAATAAAATGGAAATTTCATAAGTGGACATCACTAAAAACTTTCGTTACAATGCATCAATTTCAACCAAATTTTCAACATTTATGTAAAACGAGATGGAGCAGGTTTTGCTTAACATCAAAATATTTTTCCTAACATTAACATGCGTAACTTCGCTGTTATCGATTAAATACAAAAAATATCAACAGAGTTAATTTTATTTATATATAAATACAAAATTAAATTTCAACAGAGTTAATTTTTTTACATACTAGCTAATAATCTCAATCTAAAAAATATTCAAAACAAGCAATTTTAAGATAACACCATATGTAAAACAGTCGGCCAAGAAAACAACAACGATATTACATCTTTCTCAAATATTCACACACAATCTTGATTAATAATTAAAACTAATCTTTAACATTGTTTATTATACTTCAACTTTTATTTCTACATTTGTTTTTAAATACCCAATTGTTTTATCATGTTTCTAATTTCGCCTAACAAATATACAAATTTATAGTGACCAACATATGCAAATTTTATCTTTGTTTTTATTTAACTTGATATCGTAAACATATACATCCATTGTAAGCATTTTTCTGTTCACCTTCCGTGGTTTCTCTTTTCTCTGATAGTTTTTAGGTGTAGTATATTTTCTTATTACTAGACTACAAACATTCCCTCGAGAAAAACCTGGGCGAAGCCGGGTACATCCGCTAGTATATAAATAATCGATTTATATATAAATTTTATAAATATATATTATACTACTAGCCGAATAACCCGGGCAACGCCCGGGTTTTACCCGATTAAATGTTTTTATTCAAATACTATTCGTTACAATTATAAATTGGCGCCGTGGATGTCACTCTTGTGAAACGTCCCGCTCCAAACTTTGTATCTGAGAAGCGATATTTTTATAGAAAGATGATTTGGCTTTTGTTTTCTGCTCGAATGAATGTTTTTCTGTTAGAATTTTGTTCCTGCGTACAAAATAATGAACTGGTTTCACCCGTGGTCTCTGCTTTTTGGAATTTTTCCTGATATAATTTTGTATCTGATAATCAAACATGATACAGCAATATCGTCATCATCATTTTCTGACTAAAAATATATAGTTTTAATAATTGATTTATATATTTTTTTTAAATAGCCTATCGTCTTCCCCGTATTTTATTACCTATGTATGGAAAATTTGGTTTGAATTAGTGAACTACTGCGAATTTGTATACCGGACATACAAACCAACAAACAAATAAACAGACAAACATACAAACATTCATTTTTATATACAGGGTGATCCAAAAGTCCCGCACAACTTTAAAAATTAATAACTCCGCGAATATTTGCGCTAGAGCAATGCGGTAAACACCATTGTGTTCAGAATGCAATGGGATTTTTTATGGCAAATATTGAAAATTTCGAAATTGATTTTAGTTACAATTTCATTCCCTAGATGGCGCTGTACCAGAATCAGAAATTCAGCGGCCAAATTGTTTGATTAATTGAAAAGTATAACTGATCTACACGTATTTTTCATTTTTGTATACCAG